TTGCACACACTGTCAGACTCAAAAACTTCCCTTCTGGAGAGTCTTACTATTAGGCAACATGATGATAGCTGGCTTTCTTCCCTCTTGCCTCCTAGGGTCACTGTCACCTCTTGCAGTGCCAATTAATGGCTTCTCCTGAGGATACAGACCCTTTTCCATGCAAGGCTCTCAGAGAGTCATTGGTCCTGGATGTGAGAATTAGAACTGCTTTAAAAAAAATTTAAGTGCTAGATTTCACAAAGTGCCAGATAAGAAACCTCAGCACAAAGCATCCCAGACAGAACCAGCAGTTCAGCACCATTCACCATCTAGTCCCGGTTAAATTACATGCGTGCCTTTCGTTTTACAGCAGCACATCCTGGTACTTGTTTGTAAGCCATTTCTTATACAGGGAGCTTGAAAAAAGAAAAAAAACAACTAGTACAGAGATGAAAGATACCAGCTTCACCCATCACAGGGTTCTGGAGCAGAGCAGGTTCACACTGGTGTGCTGGGAGTACTGCCAGAGTATCCACACCACTGCAGGCTCAATTTACTGGTGCCTGTAGAAGTAAGCTGACATTGTGAACACTGCTCACATGGAAGACTGTGCCTGTCTCATGATACTGTATAATTTGTGATTCTGCCATTTTGTAGCTTTTAGTTGCTGGCTGGACAATCCACTGCTAGACAAGTTAGTAGTTCTCTCCTAACATGCTCTAACACAGATGATACCAATTTGAGTCACCTGTTTCTCCATTCTGTCTCTGAATCATCAATATTTATATTTACAATGCCATGATTATTTGTGAAATGCAATCTGAATCCTGGTCTGTATCAGTTCTGTCATACTTGAAATTACAATAAAACACTTGAAACTGTATAATCAAGAAGAAATTCAAAAGGAACAATTTAAAACAGAAATGCTTTTTGGGGATAGGAGCAATGAAGTTCCTTGATTACGCATGCAAAGAACATCAAATTGCACCACAAGCAGGAATATGCGCTCTTGTCATATGTTAAGTGATGCATAGAAATCCTGTATCAATAAATATTCTGCTTTACAGTGTGCCTGAATCATCGTAAGGTATGAAAAGAGTGAGATCTGAGGATTTTAGATACTGTTCATTTGAAGATCAGGTGATATGAATTGCTCTGTAGAATACAGAGAAAAAAATGTAATTCAGAAGAGCTCAGATCAAGTAAAAAAAAAAAATCAAATACCATTCTTAACAAGCACCTTTCTTCTCCCACCCACAAACAAGGACAACAAGGATGTGGTTGGCTAGCAGTGCTCACGATGCTTCTTATAGTCACTACACTGAGTTAATCTTTTACCTCCAAGGATGGGACAGAAGGTCAGGAAATTCTGAGAAAATAAATGCTGATGAACTCAAGCCATTCCCTTCCCCAGCTTAAGTCAGAGATTCACTGCTAGCTTTCTTGGAACAAAAGAAGAAATGAAGTGCATCTGCAAAAACATGCAGTTTAACATCACTTTAAGCATAGAGACTCATATCCATCCAAAAACCATAGTGCTTCTCCATAAATTTATCTCCTTTCATCTAAAGCTGTACTAAAATGTCTATGCCATTTGTGTTTGTTTTTTTTTTTCCCAAACTCAAATTCCTTCTCCTCATTTTTGGAAAGCAGCTGATTAAACCTGAACAACTGGGTTGTTGGACGAAATATGCTGTAGCTATGAAATGGTACAGCAGGGACCAGTTTCACTGTTAATTTAAAATGCTAGAATTAATTAGGTAGTGTAAATGAAGAATTTAATAAGCACACTTTACAACCACAAGTTCTGCTTTTATTAAACATCCCAGCCAAATGAAGGCAACTATCTTCAGTCTGTTTTTCCTTTTCTCGCTCCCTTAAAATCTCTGCAGTGAAAAAAGCATTTTCCTATCGCAGCCCCTCCCCCATAATTAAAATTTATGCCTGACTTCCATCTCCTCTTTCAAGTCATTAGCATCTTTTAAAAATGCTACTGTATATCCTGCCTGTTCTGCAAAGCTACCAAACAAAACCCAAGTTTACAATTTTGGTTTTGAATACCAAATTAAAGGCTGTCTTAGAAGCTGTCATCCCTATTCAACTCAGCACGGTGTACTACCAAATTAGCATATATTTTTTAGTAAGGGAACATGGTTGTTTAAACATGTGTCTTTCCAAAACGAGGGGTAACATCACGAATCAATTTCCTTAAGAAAAATCTAATGCTGTTCTAAAAGACCTGCAAAAAGCCTCAGACCAGATGATGATTGCTGACACGTAGTCTTTAATCCACTTAAAATAAAACAGCTCAGACCACAAATTCTCTCAAAGGGATACTTTAAAAGACTTTGGTTAGCTTTAACTCCCTGAAGGAAAAAAAAAAAAAAAAAAAAAAACACCAACCTTTTGAGAATCTAAACATTTTTTCACAGTATCTGTGCACCTGCTTTAATGGGATAGGGAGCACAGAAATTTCATTGGTTCATGCAAAAATATTCAGTCTAACCTCAGAAATATGTTGAAGACTTTAAAACATGGTTTCTCCAGACTAGCTACTTAACATGATTTGGTCTGTGACCTTTTCCATGCCTCTAAAGAAATATTTTAACATTTGTTTACCAGCATGCATTTAGCTGAGATTTAAGATAAAGTTCTGAACAAACGATGAAAAATTCAAAAGCAGACAAACCCAAACTAATTGTTTCAGACCTTCACGAGTTCAGCGCAAGCAGCTTAAGAATTTAATATTTCTTCTACAGTACAGCTTCACTGTCAAATAAATCTACAGTGATTTTTAATATGGAAACGCAGCAGAAACCCCCTGGGAAGTCAGTTACTCCTTAACAGCCTACTGCTTTAGCAACCCTGAATTAACACAAGGGTGAAAATCGCATCCTGAAGTGTAGTGATGCTGTATTATCACAGGTCCTGGCGGCTTTTTTCCTATCCGAATTTCGTTTGGTTAATTTCTACTTGCATCACATTTTAAAACATGAAGGCTCTTACATCACACAGGGATGGTGTCCAGAAAGCATATATATATATATTTTTTTCTTTTTAAATAAAAAGGAATATTTGCTATGAAGTTACTGACTTTAACTCTTAATAAGCTTTTCAAAGAAAAAATATAGGTAAAAAGCTACCCAAGAATACGTCAGTGAGATCACATCAATTTTCTCACATCTTCAAATACAGAGACAAAAGCCTGGAGATGAAATATAACAAGCAGATGAAGTAACAGCTCTCCTTACAAAGGCTGCCAATTCTCTACAAAAACAACACACTATCTACAATTCTGATATTCCGTTTCAAGGAAATCCCCATCAATGAAGAATACAGGAGGCAAAAAAGTTACTAAAATACAAGACCTGCCACAACCAAAATTCAAGCGAGGCACACTTGTAGAGAGTCAGTAATTCACTTGGGTCTCGAGTAACTCAAGTAACTTGCAGTTCTCTTTGCCAGACCATTTTCAGACTGAAAAGAAAAAATACCTGGGGCTAAAGCTTGTTTGGTAGTAGGAATCAAGTGTCATATTGGGACAGACAGGCACGTAAAAGCAGAGAACTTGAGCTCTCAGCATGGACAACTTTTGTAAAGGAGAGTAGAGCAAACTGTTTTTAAGTTGAAAAAGAAGAAGAATAAATAAAAGAAGTCAACTTGATTTTTCAATCTGTTTTTTCCATACCCTGAAGCTGTGCCCTAATCAGAAAATATATTGAAATAGATACATCATGGTCAACGTGCAAACAGAAAGCTCTGCCGGACTACACTTCTGAGGACTTGAGCTGCCCTGGGGCTACTGCCATTTATTATGTGCCTTGCGTTAAACAAGAACACTGCTGTATGTCAGAAGTAAATAAAGAAGAAACATTGCATGTTTGGAAGCACTAAGCAGATAACCCTAATGCTGCCAATAAAACAGCTGCCAGGCTGTTACAGATGTAGGTATGAAGACTTGTCTTTTCAATTCCTCATTTTGACAGCGCCTCTTTCCAGATGATGCACACTCAAACTGCCAAGAGCGCATACTTGAGAAGGGACTGCTCCTGTGCTAGAACCCTTTCCTTCCCAAGTCTGCTGCACTTGGTGCTAAACATAACACTGGTGACATGCTGATCAGCAGAGATGTTTCAGCTCTTCACCACCTACAGTGCAAGTAGACACAACCTATAAAACTAACCTATAAAGCAAACTACATGATGTCACTGCTCACCCTGCTGCTGTTCTGTCCATCAGTGAATTTCTGGTTGTGGCAGCAAGGATGCGGAGTAAGTGAAGTGCATCAGCACCTACCTACACCTTCTTCAGCAGAAGCGGAGACACCACTGTCTTCCATGAGGTAAGATCTGTAATTGGAAGCTTTCCTTGTTCTGAAGGCACCAATCAACGGGTGCTACCACACAAAGAGGTCACTGCAAACTATGGTGTTTTAGGGAACAACATTCATTAACCAATAATCACAAACGTTCAAATGAGAACTGGAGCAGTAGCTCCTAACTACACACCACTGCTGCTCCAGGAAGCTAGAGATAAGGGGCTGCGATGGACACATAACCACTGTTGCTCTGAAATGTTAACGTGCAGAAGTTTGATGAAGGTATTATGAAGTCCATAAGAAAGCAAGAGTTATAAATTGTTGGTTGGCTCAAGCAATTCAGATGCATTTGTATAACTGAGTCAACATTAATCAGGAAAAATAGAAGAATGATGAGGAAAGCCATGTCATCATCTGAGCTCTGCTGCAAGAAGCTGCCTAGGAAGCATTAAATGCATGCACACTGGTAGTGTCTGCCCCACTCCCCAAAGCTGTATGTGAGCTGAAGAACAAGGGTTCACCTGTAAATCTACAGCCAGTACACAAAACTGAAAACTAAAGGTTTGAAGGTTTTAAAGGTCAGAAGAAGCTTGCCATAATACCTGCAGCATTTCTAAGCACTTGCAATATGAGCACTGAGGTTTTGCTGACCTTAAGTGTAAACAGACCCTGATGTACAGGAAAGCAATGCTGAAGAGCTTACCTGTGATTTTGTCTCTCACGAGCTTGCAGGATTCTATTTCACCAATGCTCCCAAAGAGACTCCTGAATTCCTCCTGGGTCATGTTCTGGGGTAAATAGTTGACTATGAGGTTGGTTTTGCTGTCATCTGTGGCAGCCCCCGTCTGCATGGGGGAAGGGCAGTTTCTACTGTTGCTGGAGGGTCCATTGGTTGTATTGGAAGTAGGGCCATTCGACACCTGAGGCTCCATGGTGCTAATTATCTAAATTAAAAAAAAAAAAAAAAAAAGAAAAAGAGAAGAAACCTTAAGTTTCATAGATATAACTGCTGTTTTTAAAAGATACTTACAAACGAATGAGTAGGTAGCATTCACGGCCAATTTAGATACTTCAACAAAAGAAACCGGCTTGATTCCTCTGTTATTGTTGCAAAGTAGGTCATGCTAGTCTTTGGCTGTGAGCATATACTAAGATGCAGTTTAAAAAAATCCTTTTTAGTTAATGCAAAGCTGATTTCTGCTTTCATCACACAGCCATTTTCACAAATGTATATTTAAACCACATAAATTTAATTATAATTTAAGGTAATAATCATAATTAAAATTATAGTTCCATTAAATCAGATGAAATAAGTGTATGGCTCTATACGAAAAGGTAAAATATTTTACCTATTTAATAACTGTATCACAAAGTGCAATGACAACAATATTAACCAAGCACATACGGGCTGTCTTTAGTTAATAAAGGCACTGTGTCCCAAGACATACCAGTTACTGGTTCCAGGGATGACCTATATTCTCCAGTTATATTTTCACTAACGAACTGACGCCTCTTTAAATAATAAAGCCCTGGATCTGCAATCTTCAGAGATACAAAGGTCCTCAGATAAGTTACTGGAAAGGTTTAATCAGATAAAGCTTATTCAGTGCAGAATGGTATTTTAACAAGTGGTTCTAACTTGAAACATGAAACTCCAGTTTTTCCACCAAGACTTCTCCAAAATGCCAGGTAAGAAGCTATTTTGCTCACACAGACAGGCAACAATGTCCCTGCTGTCACAAGTGTGCCCAACCATGTGGGCACAGCTGCCTGCCATGCCCCTCCACCTGCAAGATACACACTAGAGAAGGCAGTCTGCAGCAGAGCTATACAGACATGGATGAAAACAAACATGGGTGCTTCAAGGCTCTGCAGGGACCTGCTGTGCCCATGGCTGGGGCAGGACAGAGTGAGCAGGAGCCACGGGAAGCTGCACCACAGGAAGGGCATGGAGGAGAGCTACTAGCACTGAGCCTCATGCTCATTTCATCCTGTAGTTATTATAATTACTCATGACTTAATTAGCTTTCTTTTTTGAAACCAGGGAGGTATGTATTGCGACAAATTAGGCTTGTAGTTGGGTGAGAGGGGGGCACCAGAACAGACAAGTGTGATCTAAAATTAACTGTACCAAGGTGCTTAAGTCTCTAATTAGCTTAAGTTCTGGTCAGCATTTTTTGTTTTTACATTGATACATGTGTCTTTATTTAAAGCTACATTTATTAAATAATCCTTCATTTTCATCAATGGAAACAAGTTTTAAATTACTACTGATTTTGATTACTGGACTCCAGAATACATTACGCGGTTTGACCATTTCCAAATAAAAGGAAACCTTGCTACATTATGCTTAAACAGCAAGGCCTTCAGCCACAAAGCAGAACAGTTCCAAAGAAGTGCTAACCTTGGGGCAGCCAGAAGCCTCAGAGCCCCACTGCCCACTTCGGCAGCCACGCGCGCCCAAACTCCGACACCTTGGGTGAGGCAGCCCCCAGCCATACGTTCAGCACTGCAGACCTTCTGCTTACCCAGAATTGGCCATACTCTCTTCCCCAATCCGATTTCCGACACGTATTTACTCACACACACTAAGTGCTTCAGATACCACTAAATCTGTTTAGCTCAGATGTCCAGCTGGAAGATAATCTTTTGATCTCTGCATCTCTAGCCTTACAGCGGGTTCTTGCTCCAATCCTAAGCTTTGCTAATAACCCGCTGCCCATGCAGGCTCCTGCCATCCTGAAGATAATACACCGAGCTCAGCAAGCTTATATTATTCATATGCACACACACACACCATATAAGTCTCATTAAAGTAAAATCCAGTTGGGGTTTTCCCGCTGTTCCCCCCCTCAGGAGCTGAGGAGGAGAACACAGGCCATCTCAGGCAGGACAAGGCCTGGTCCTGTCCCACCAAGCAAAACCTGACAGTTAGCCAGGGTCAGTCAGAAGATGGCAGCGACACAGACATGGCTAACAGCAGCTCTAAGTCATCCCACTCTATCCTTCCCAACACAAAAGCCACCAGACACACTGCAGTTTTAGGTACTGGCCCTGGCCCTCTGAAGCCAAGAGAAGCACTTCTTGTGGCTCCAGCTGCAGCAGAAGCTGGCCTTCAGCACGGCGTGCTGACAGAGCTATGTCACCTATTATTAGCAGCAGCAACAAAAGCTATGTACAGTTTCCCATGATAAACAGAAACCTCAATCTCTTCAAAAAAATCTACTCAAAATTTGAAGCTGTGTCCTACTTCTGCATTTCGCAAACTCTTTTTAGCTGCATCTTAAGTATGCTTACCTTCTACTCTATGCAGTAAATACAATTTAAGGTATTTAACAAATACAGAACATTGGGAGTAACCTAGGCTGCTCAGTGAAGTCTGTTCTTGAACAAATACACTTCCTCATATAGCATCTCCAAATATTTCAGCATAAGCCAGTGTGACCCCAGGCACCAGGGTTTCCTCCTGGCTGCTCTTAGCTCCAGTCAATCTCCAGATCAGTCATTTTACACATATGTACTGATTCATATCATTAGTAAAAACTTAGGAAATTAACACTAACAAGAAACATAAATCCCAGTCCTCCTTTTCAATACTGTCCTCAGCCCTGCAAATCAATGAGAACACTGATAGCAGCTGACTTAACATCAAGAAGCTGCCAGCACACTGTTCTTTGAGTACATGTAGTTTCTCCTCATGTTAAGTTTCAGCACACCATTCACTTTGGCCACAACATGAAGACGGCAACTTTGAATTCAATACTTATACCGCAATATGAATATTTTTTCAAGATGATGCTACAGTTTCCTCAGCAAATAGTTCATTCTGACTATGTTGTAATTACTGCTGATAACATTAATTAATATTAGTACTTTTTATAAAATCATAAATTATGAAAGGAGGTTATGAATTTATCTTTAGCTCATGAAGGGCTCCCCTGGATATCAACAAAATAAGCATGGAAAACCCACCAGCGACTGCATACAAAGATTTTTTTGCAATATAAATATGCTGTAATTCCTTAAAGATCAGTTATACCTCCTTACATGTTACTTCAATCTAGCAACATCTTTGTTGTTCTGCAGCCCTTCTCTAACCTACTTTAGCTGGAATCCCACTAATACAACCACCATGTGCTAACGTGCCCGTGCTACTGGTACAGAATCACAGCTTTTTGCTCCCTTCTCACTCCTCTTCTATATGCAGATGAACAATAACTGAAGAAAAAGTAAACTGCAGTTACTATTTTTATGCATTAGTAATTTAAGCACCAATACTTTGAGTGCTACGTGTTTGTAATGTTCAAAACCAAAATTTCTACGATTGCAATTGTGGTGGTGTTTTTTTTTTTTTTAAAGTTAAAAAAGGCAACTCGTACCTCAAATTCTAGGTACATTTCAGACTGCTGCCTATAAGAATTGCTTCCTGGTGTACTACTTTTCTCAGGATGGCAATGCATCAGCCAGGCACCAGGTATTTTGGTTTGACAGATTTCACAAAGGAAAGCTTTGCTGCTCAGGAATTCAGCATCAGCCTTGCCCGCATTCTGCAATACACTGCTTACCAAAAGTCTTAGTATAACCCCTGCTACAAAATATCAGCAGCAAATACACAGTACAGCAATCCCTATGTTCCAAACTACATCTCAGAAATACTTACCATATCTTCTTATACATTTTCTCCAATTAATTCAATTAATTTAGTGCTGTTGAATTATTAGTGCCAACAATAATGCAAAGAGTACCTGTATGTATAAACAAAGCGATTACAAACCTTAAACAAGCCACAATGACTGACATTTATCTTCAGCTGCTGTTACAGTAAGTGTGTAACATGCATCTATCATTACAAAGCACAGTTAATGAATCATTTAGAAAACTACCCACAGACTGAATTAACACAGGCTTATCTTCCTATTGCATGCATAAACAATAGCCAATGGCTTCATAAATGTAAATATACATGTTTTATATTTACAAGATTTGCTCTCAGTAGACTGAAAGAGATCTGTCTGTTGAACTGAAAGACTGTCACAAGCACACACTGCGAGGAGTGTGTGCTCAGCAAATTATTTAACACTCATTCTTGTTATTCAAGTTACATAAGCTCTGCTGCCCATTTTCCACAATAAAGAGAAATTTATTTTCGACGTCGAAAAAAACAGAGCAGCAATTAACAATCTCAAAAATAAGCATATGCGCAGGCACTGAAGTTTTAAACATACCACAACCTCTCCCTTAAGAGACTGAACAAAATCCTAAGGACTCTAAAGGATTCGTGTGGACAGCTCCATTTTGAGGACTCAGAAGTCAAAATGTTATCTATGAATAATAAACTGTTCACAGCACTTAAATGCCAAGAAAAACGATGGTAAATTACACCTCATGAAGAATTCATAAGGTCTAATTTTATTTTATTTCTAACTGTTCATTAATGAACAAACTCAGAACATTCTCTCGAAAAAATTTAAATAATGCAAAGCTCTTACTTCATCTAAAAAAGCTCTTTAATTAGCATTGCAAGTTGTTTGCTTTTACACGGGAAAACAAATGGTGCCATGGCAGAGGTCCCACAGCCATCTCCTGAATAAGATGACAAAAGGAAAAACAAACAGAACCTCTCAAACAAAACAGAGTCACAATAGTTTTCTTTCTATAGAAAGAAACAGGTTTTTAAACTCCCAGCTTCTCTCTTCCTCTGAAAGCAAGGAAGTCAGCATGGCACACCAGCCTGGTCTCACAAGAACCTTCCCTGTAGGCTGAAAAGCCCAGTTTGCAGGAGCTGCCTGAGCTGCCCAGCCACAGGCCTTCCATCAGCCCCCACCAACAGGAACTGCCATGCTAAAGCCAGAGGGTCCCTCACAGGCACTGAAACAAGGAGCTTTAAGACGTGGCCTCCCTCAGCACCGTACGGCCCTACTCCAATCTCATGCTGCTCCTTCTA